TCAGAGAGTCAATGTGAGAGAGAATCCCACAGACATCACAGATTAAAGTCTGCAAATAGTATGGAGTCTGATTTGAAGAGTGTAGACAGTCTTTCTGTACAGCACTGGCTGGCGTGTGATAGCAGTCAGGCTCCCGGGCAGATTGAGAGACTTGGCGTCTGTCCTGCTGTTGCTATGCTTCCCTCTGATCCCTATTAATTCCCTCTGTGTGGGTTTTAATTGTTTAATTAGTGACAGATTTATTTTCTCTGGTAAAAGGGAGATTGTGAATGATTCTTTGGTTCTGTGTGCAATGAACTTCAGATTTTTCTTTTACTGCTTGCCTGTGGTAAAAATAACATTGCACTACGTCAAAGCGCCAAGGAAAACTGTGCTAGAATATTGACAAAACACGTATGGTAACACAGAGCCAACAAATCGTACCTCAAGAATCTCTGTTTGGTGGCAGATTCTGTGACAGTTGTCTTAAACAATCCCATCAGACTTTCCCTCTCACTAGTTTACCAAAGAAGCTAGAACATAAATGTTTCAGTATCTGTCTTCTGTAACATAAAGACAGCAAATCAAACATTTATCAAAGTTCTGCAGACATGTGTTTTCATCAAAGCTGCAGGCGCTAAGGGGATTGATCATCTTGATTAGTGTGCCTTATTGCGGACCGCCGAACTCACAATAAATAAAGATACACTTCCAAACCCAGAAGCTGCCCGTGTTAAACCTGATCCAGAGTTAATCAAAACTAAGCTGCTACATTTTCCCAATATTTTTTAAAGATTTTTCCTTTATTTAATAAGAATGTGATTTGGGGACTGTACTTTTGGTCGTTTTTTATGCTGTGCTAAAAGAAAAATAACCCAAGAACCCAAGGAAAGGCTTTCAATAAAATTAAAATTGAAATGCATGGAAATACTGCGGTAACAGGGCTGCCGTGTCTGCAGCTGTTAGAAAAAAATCGAAATGAACATACGACATGTTGCTTTGTTCAGACATCACCATTTTGAGTGTGGGCTGTGTGGGTGGCTGACTGACTGTAACAGGGACTCCCCGAGCAGAGGAGAACAGAGGACAAGGCTCTCCGGGGCTGATTGGGTTTTGAGGTGGTCAGGGTACAGTACCTACTGGGTACGTGGTACCTACACTGTACAGCTGCAGCCCCTGTGATGTGTAGAGCACCTGTAAGCTTGGCACTGCAGTCACCTTCCTGCCAAGCACGTTGGGACTTTAGGTGTGTAAAACCTTGAAAGATTCGGACAGATGCATGTGTCTGAGGAACGTTCTGTGTGCGGGATCACATACGGTCAATTCCACCCCGGAGGCGTGGCAGCACGGGGGTATGACAAAAACTGGCAGTTCCAAAATTTAAAAAATAAACATGCCCTGTGCACATTAAAGGAAGTTGTAGCAGCCTGCATAATTTGACAGTTATCGCTTTCACGCCGTGCATCTCAATAGGATAGCACGATCGTTATTACTGGAGCAGTTTGACAGTGTTCTTCGCAGACGTGGTGTTGGATTGTACAACTGTGCCTGAGAGGGGGCTGGTGCAAAGGCCGATTGTAATTCAGCTGCTCGGCTTGAATGGTGTTTTTAAAGCTAATTTATTTTACATGAGTGGGTGTTTCTATTTTTAGTCCCTGTAAGAAAAACCAAAAACCAGGAAAGGGAAAATAATTCTTTTACTGTAGGACTTTCAGGGTAAAGAAGCAAATATACCGTGAAATAGTTATTTGTAAGAGAGTCACAGCCAGATATTGATTTGCGTTTTCAAACCAGACTAGTGAAATTGTTCCTGCAAAGATCTTATAAAATGTCCCAGCATTTCTGCAGTAACCTGTACAGTCAGAATCCTTCCCCTTGCTTAAGGACAGGCTGAGCTGACATTATTGACCAGGCCATTCTGGAGTCCTGGGTCTTTATGAGCAGTCTTAATCTGGAACTCTCGGCGTCTTTCCCCAAAACAGTGTTAGCTCCTGTTAATACAAACCACCGAGCTGGACATCTTCCAAGTATGCACAGAAGCCAAACTCTCTCACTCCTCTGTCTCTAACCAACCATGGAAGATCTGCACACTGGACCTGCAGGACAGCTACAGTACATGGTTACCAGCTTCCTAAAGAGGAGGAAAGGAATCTCTTTATTAGATTCTCCAGAACAGGGAGGGGGAAAAATGCACAAGGTCATGTTTCCAGCCTTTTCAGTACTCCCGATGAGCCTACTTACTGGGAGGTTATTACAGCAATCTTTCCACAGTGGGAGGTAAGAATTCCCAGAGATCGACTGGAGCAGAGACGGGTTCTGGAATTCAAGGAGAGAGACCTGGAACCCTGTGCTAGCGCAGAGCTGGGCCTGGTTCCTGTCTCACGACCCGCTTGGCCATGACAACAGGAGCCTGCTGTCCCTCTCTCTGTGCTGCTGCTGTCTCTCGGATGTCCTGGAGAACGCCGGCAGATGCGAGAGGAGCGCCTCAGTCTCGCTTGTGAAGCGATCTGGCAGCGTGTCGCTCTGCATCTCATATTGCGCTATCATACGAGGAAGCGGAACCGGGTTGTACGTCGCCATGGCAACCAGGTTATGCCGACCTAACATGCTGACCCCTTGTAATGTACCCTCTGCTGTGACAGGGGTGTGGGAGTAATTGTCTTTCTTTACGGGTTTTGTCTAGTTTAGATTCCTGGGATCTCTCCGTGAAGCTAGTAATATTTTTTTTTCTTAAAACAAAATCAGTCACCCTCTTGGTAGTACTGAAAGAACCGCGTAGCACCTGCCTAAATCAGTGCCGTCAGCACTCTGCACGACTGAAAGAAGTCCTTGGTACCTCTAGCCCAAATGCAGGCGCTGTGACGTTTGTTTGTTTTTTTTTAATCCACGAATGAACTAAATGGGCGTAGGAACGATATCTGTTTCCCCCCTGTAGCTGAATGTAATGTAACATGCGGTCGCATAACAAACCATAGAAGGTTTTTTTTTCAAAAGGCTAATAACGGAGAAGAATGAAACCCCCGAGGAAGAGACTTGAAAACAAATTGATTTTTTTCCCCTTTTCAAACATCATTTCTGTCTCGCTCTCTCATGTCTGTCAGTCATCTGGGTTCGGGGATTGTTTTCAGCGCCGTGCATTGAATTGAGTTTTCAAGAAGCCAGCACCTCTTGCAGGACTCCGTGAGTCCCGGCAGCCCGGTGATGACCTCCGACGAACCGCTGGTCAATAAAAGCATTTGAAACTTTTAGATTCCCATGCAGGTCCTGAGTGTGTGAGATTGCTAGACACAGAACATGCTAATTTAACCAGCCTATGTATCCATGTGGGCGGGGCGGCAGTTCAATAGGTGGAGAGAGTGAAAATGCTGGAAAATAAAAATAATTCTAACAATTTCTTAACAGACTGCTCCTCCATCTGCTCTTTGGGGACTTCCTGTTTATTGCATTTTTTTTTCAGCTCAGTCCTCAGAAAATATTCTTCTGGCTCATTGCATGTGTGTCTGGAGGGGGAGAGAGAGCCCCATTTACATCAACGATATTAAATATCTCCTCCTGGCTACAGTCTCTGTTTCCCCTGACTGCGGCTATTTTTACGGACTCAAGGCTTCTGTTCAGGCAGCTGTGCTGTAAGAAACAATTTTGGTTCTGTTTTTTTTTTTTCAACAAGACGCCTGAAGACTGAAGCCTCGTCTCCAAAGGATGAGGTTAACCTTGGTGTTTTGGTTTTAAACGGACGTTTTGCAAATGAGATTTTTTTCTGCAAAACTGCAACAAAAAAGAAGAAGAAGAAAACTGCAACAAAAAATGCAGTTCAAAAGTGTGCAGAGGTGCTCCTGTCAGTAGGAAATGAAATAGAAATGTAAACCTGGAGCCTGACTGAGCCATGGCTCAGATGGTAATATGTGCAGTAATCAGTAGTAGTAGTAGTATGTGTTGTAACCAGGGCATTTTCCCCCTTTCTTTCGTTCTGTCTGCCTTTATCAGTTTCTCTTTCAGAAAGAAACTGTGACATTTTCGTGCATGAGGGGAGAACATGTACTGTAGCATGAATTTATTTTAGTATCTAAGAGTTCCTTTCCATTGTAAGAGAGAAATAGTGTTTAGAGAGGTAAATATTGTTTTTACAGTGCAAAAGACACTACAGACCTTTAATTTCGATTTCCCCTGAACCCTAGGTAGCTCCCATGTTGGGCTATACCTTTTTTTTTATAGCTCAACAGTTGTAGTTCATGACTGCAGCCTGTAATACATACTCTGACCAGGGGAGGTCAGAATTACAGATCCAGATGGCAGGATGCCAACCTGGAAACAGATGGTCAAATTAAAACACAGCACAGTATTTCTTTTAAAATGAATGATTAAATTAACATTAACTGAATGTTGTTTTATCCGTTGCATGTAGGAAGTCTTAAATTAGCTTAGTTTCTTGTTCCTTATTGACTGAATTGTCCAAGTTTGTGACAGAAGAATGTTTTGTATTTCTCCGTAAGAGTTTGTGACCTTTGATCAGGCTTTTATTTTTTAACAAAGATTTTATTCACAAAAAAGGTGAATGTCTCCATATTTTGTGGTGACTGTCACTCGCATGTTTGTGTGGAACAAATGGTTATTCTGTCTGGAAGGTTCTGGCGTGTTGATATCAAGGCCGGGCTGTGTAGCGCAAAAGAAGGTCAAGGGAAGGCTGGTGGAGGGGACTTTGCCGAAGTGCTGTCTCCTTCATGCCTGTTTACTTATCTCCTCCACAGCTTATTCGCTGCTCCTAATGACAAGACGGATCAGATAAAGAAGCAGACAAAGTCACCCCAAGTGATTGTGTTCTGTAACCCTTGGATATGGGAAGTCAGTTACCTTGGTTACCAGGGGCTGACTTCCTCTTTCTGTGGTGTGCCACTGGGGGCTATCTTCCACACACATTGGTTGAGGCCTTCCTCTGAATTTCACCTTGGGATTAAGACGAGTGGTAAAATGTCTTGTCGTGAGAATAGGAAAATCTGTCCCTTGTGTGCAGCAGTTGAGTTTTGCCCTGTGTGGTTTAGGTTTTTCTGGTGACACCAGTTTTTGTGACGTTCAAGTGTTTAAAAAAAGAAGGGGGGGGGACCAGGAAGAATTAGTTTGCTAAAAACATGAAGGGTTCGAGAGCAGGCAATTCAGAAAATGTACTCTCGACTTTTGCATCTAATAGTGCAGTTGATTACTTTCTAAAACATACAGTACTCATTTTGTGAACGACAGCCTTCTTAATTAAAGACACTGTATTAAGTTATGGGGTAAAACATTAAGCATAATAAGGTGTTACAAGGAGCATGTAGCTATAATGATGAATCTCAGTGCCTACCAACAACTTAAACAATTAATCTAAATAAAGTTTACCTACAGAACATACGGTATAAGGATAGCAATGTACAGACATTCAACCTGTTTGAACAGGAATTCAATAGACATTTTCAACAGAAATTGTTTCTTAGGTTCTCCCAGTAGGACACAAAAGGTCCCTTATTAATAATGTAATAGGATTTCTTAATGGATTGCCGCAGTCTGTGAGCAGCGTTATTAACAAATGTCAGTAGGGTTTAATGAAACAGCTTAGCAGCCCACCCCACAACAGCCACCATGGTGCTAATTCCAACACGGTAAATATTGAGCGTGTCTCCTGAGTGAAGACAAACAACAATAACTGCAATTTCTCCTCTAATCCCAGCCCATCTTGTAATTACAGCTTGGGTCACACTTAGCATTCTCCTCCTAGGGAGACCGTGCTTGCTAGTTCCTCACAGGACTGGATACAGTCGGCACTGTGTCCTTCCTTTTGTCTCATTTTGCACTTCAGAATCATTAGGTGGCCTTTTGCCCGAGTCTCTCCCAGGATGACCAGAGGAAGGCGAAGGCCCAGCGGCATGGCCACCGAGAGGCGTTCGCAGTGTTTCCCAGACGTTATTCTACTGCCTTGCTTGCGAAACATGTTGGAGCTGTGAACCACGAAACCAGCCGCCGACAGCAAACAAACCTCACAGCCAGCCTCGCACACCGCCTTCTCAGCTTGGGATGATCTGGTCTGTATCTGCCGTCTCCTCAGACAGGCACAGCGTCACTTGTGTTGTTCATGGCCAGAGCAAAGCGAACATAATGTGTTGTTCTGTGAGCCCATACGGCATGTAGAATTTTCTGTATATGCACTATATATATAATTATCAAGACAGGCCATCTCTCAAAGTCTTGGGATCCATCGTAAACTTCATTTTTATCTCTGATATCTTTCATTTGAATCCCCCAGTTAGTTGCTCTTGAACCCACTGATCTGAATTATAAATAGATGCAAAAAAGGGGGCTTTTCTAGTTCTGCTTCTAATTGAATAGTGGACGTTTGTGGTTATGAGGCTAGTTTTCGCTGAACGATCATAGACTCAAACACAGCTCAGAAACAGCAGCCAATGTACTGCTGTTATTAGCCCGGTGCTTGTTGTTTACGTCAGCCTTGGAGCTCGGAGGACCACCTTAAATTTCCCCATCAGCGACCCCTGGTTGAAAGGGAAAGTCTTTTTATTAGCCCAGGCTTGTCTAGCAGGGACTCTGTCTCCCCTCGTGCTCTACAATGACGGCCTAGGGGGCTGGATTGTGGCCCACGCCTATTGTTAAAGCCCATGTGCCTGGGGAGGCCTGACACCGAGACAAAAAGGCATCTGGAGCTGCTGAGCCGCTTCTCTGGATGTGCTGACGAGCTGCGCTGGCTTTTGTGCATGCTGCTTGCCCAGAGCAGACGCACACCCTCTGCCCCTGAAGGAGTCGAGAATGAGTTGTCTTCGTACAGGAAAGACCGGCCCACTTGAAACAGGATGGCGTGTTTTCTGCAGAAGTGGCTGTGGTGGTTCCTTTTCTTTCTTGTTAATACAAGTTTGCGAGTCTCGTAGTAAAGATAAGTTTCACAATCCTGGCCTACTCAGACCGAGGGATTCACATCCTATATACTGTCTATACTGTATAATGTCAGTTCACTTGTTTAAAAATGCAGTGCATTTTACAATAAAATAGACGGAAGTAATATTTTAAGGTCCATTGAGATCACTTGACCAAAACAAATGACCATATTGGTTGTAGGTTCCCCAATATTTCTATAATTTGCATTTAATTTCCCTGTAAACATTTTTTTTCAAGGTTTCAGTATCTTCTGTGGCTTTCACCATAGTTATCCTCAATATTAGAGAGTTTGAATTTATTGACTGTATAGTTAGTGTTAGCTAGTGTGAACCCTTTTGAATTCATTTTAATATAACTATTGCCAATAAGTAGTACTTCCAAAAAATCTATCCTAATTAAGAGGTAACATTTTCAGACTCTTTATCAAATTTTATTAATACCATACAGCATGGGATCAATTTGGATAGAAACATAAGAGGAGAAGTCTCAAAATGCCATGATATTATTAGTGGAGTACCACA